CATGTAATCATATAAATCGTATCATATAACTTATATTATTTCTCATGTGTTCATGTAAATATGCATGTCCTATTTTGTTCATATATGTTTATATATACATCATATAATCCTTTCCTATAGTTCATATTTTATTTTCACATATGGCATATCACATAAATCACATAGCACATATCAGTTCATATAATCAAGTATACATACATTTCATGTCATTCACATCCTTATAACCAATACTCCATACACTATAACTATTGGAAATAGACTTATCAAAAGTCCAATTCCTTATAATCCTATAAACTAAAATGCACTCATAAGAATCATATCAATCATATAACATTTTAGGAGTCACTTCTTACTATAGTAACTCCGTCACTGGCTCATCGCAAGCCAATGTTTTTCGATAGCATAAGTACAATTAAATTGCACTCAACTTAGCATTGCTTTGATTCAATCCTAATCCTTTGATTATTCCAGAACTTGTTTATGATCAATATCTACATAAATATAACATTTCAAAGTAACTATCAGAAGCCTAAACCTTAAACTTGATGTTAATAACTTAAGCCGGTTCAATGAACCAAAATTCCATTTTTCATTTAGGGGGAATCGATACCCCCCAGGGGGGAATCTGTTCCCCCTGCACATACTGGAATTTTTGTTCAAGAGGGGGTATCGATACCCCTTCATAGGGTACCGATTCCCTATGCCTAGAAATTGTATTTTAAGCCCAAAAAACATCAATTCTTCACTCAATTCTTATATTTTAAACCCCTATCATGTCATTAAACCCAACCACCATTACTTAAACCAATTTATATCCATGAAAACCATCTTTAACCTCAAAATCCTATCCCTCATATGTAATTCAAGAATCATACTCAAATTTCAATATGTTTTAAATACAATTCTAACACTTCATATTCCTTAATTATCATGATGACAAGTCAAATTTAACTTCAAATTCAACTTATCAACTCTTTTCCATAAATTCAATTAAAAACCCATTTTCTTTAATCTCTTATAACTTCTTCATCTTTTGATTATAAGACAACTTAAGCTCTCCTTAAGCTTAGTTATCATCTAATGATCAAAACCCAACTTAAAATTCAGCTAATAATCAAAAATTAAGAAATCTTACCTTTGCTCTCTTGCTCACGATGGAGAAGAAGAAATGAAGAAGAAGAAGATAACTTCCCCATTTCCCTACGTGATTCATTCATATATAGGAAAAAATATATTTCCTATCAAATGACCATTTTGCCCTCTCATTCTTTTAATAATTACTAATAACCCTTCAAGAATTATTTTTAAATAAGTCATTGAACTATTCAACTTTTCCACTTTAATCATCAAATTCTAAAATTTTATAATTTAGTCACTAGCCCGTAATTTGAGATGTTACAATTATACTTAAATTAATAGATTTATTCCATACATATATTTTTTCACCCTCTAAGTAATATAATTTATATAAAATAAAGCTACATGTAAGATGAAAATATTTTTATTTTTATTTTTAAAAGAGTTAATTGCATTATATGTCCCTTAACTATGACCTTCATTTTAAATCGGTCCTTAAACTTTTGAATATTATAATTTTATCCTCAAACTATAATACTCATTCTAAATTACTCATTATACTTTTGAACATTTTGATTTCATTCTCAAACTATGACTCTCATTCTAAATTGGTTCCAAACTTTTAAATGTTCCAATTTCATCCAAATATGTAATTACTTTTAACCATAGTTTAACCTAAACTTTAATTTTTTTCAAACATGTAATATTATAGATTGGCCTAATGGTTTTATTAACATGGAATGTGATTCATATATACATAAATTTGGGATTAAATTAAAATGTTAAAAAAGTTTAGGAACCAATTTAAAAAGAATGATATAATCGGGGATGAAACTAAAATGTTCAATAGTTTGAAGACAAATTTAGATTGATAGTCATAGTTTATGGATAAAATTAAAATATTTAGAAGTTTAGGGATCAATTTTAAAAAATATAATTTGAGAACCTATGATACAATTTACTCTTTGAAAAAATAATAAAGTCAATGTGATAGGAATAAAATACATTAATATTCATAGATTATTGAATTTTATTCAATATATATTCGTCGTTTCTTAGCAGGCACTCGGTGAAATTAATCTTGTTTATAAATAAACGTGGAAAATAAAGCGACACATAAAAAGTCAAAAGCTGAGACGCGCATTGTACTCGGAAATGGGCGTTGACAAATGAGTTTATGATTGTCAATAACGAGTTGCCAGATTACAGTGGACAGTTGCTTGTATCAATCCTCTGTGCTTGATCCAACGGTGAAGGTGGCACTGTTTCGAAGGACTATTTGAGGAGCGTTTTTCATGTAGGATCAGCATGTTTTCAGAATCTGATCGGTTAGCGAACTGGTCATATTATCTGTTCACGGGTTAAATCGGTTAAATCAGTTTGATCGGTCGGAAGAACCGGACAACATCATAATTATTTTAAAAATTAAATAAAAATACCAAAAATATTTAATAAAAAATAATTTTTTATATCACAAGTCATATTTAAAGTAAGTCATAACATATATAAATTAAAAACCATAAAATCAAGTAAAACAAAATGATTCAAATTAACTACAACATAATATTTAAGGTAAAATATATTAAATAATAAATATAATTATATAACTATAATAAAAAAATTGGGGCTAAAAAAATCACAACAAAATGATATTGTTTGGTTTATTTATTTTTTAAATGCAATCCCACATGGCTAAGAAACATAGAAGAGCATCCCAACTAACTTCTATAAATAATAGAGGTAATTTGACATTTAAAATCATGGAGCCTTTTGGTGAGCATAGAGTGAACTATTATTTCACTTCAATCAAGCTCGAATTTTAGGCTTTAATCGAGCTTCTAATTTTTTTTTGAGTTCGAGCCTTTTCGAGTTCAAGTTTCAATATTATATTTTCGAGATCGAGTTGAACTTGATAATTTTTAGCTCGTGAGTTTGAGTCGAGCTTACTTTTAAAGTTTTCAAATTCGAGTCGAGCTTAGCAATACTCGAGTTCGAATCGTCTTATTTAACAAACGACGTCGTTTGATTTAATTTAAAAAAAAAATTGGTGGTTCAACCGGTTCACAGTCCGGTTTGAATGGTTCACGGTAGCGGTTCGAACGGTCCGGTCCGATTCAATAATAGTAGTTTAACCGGATTATAATGAACCGGACCAAATAGTAATTTCTGGTTGAACCGGTTAAATCGAACGATTCGATCCAATTTCCAAAATACTGTGTAAGAGGTAGTCGCACTTTGACATTTCGAAACCATGTTGAATTTATACACCTCTTTCAGTTTTTTCACATTCATCTTTTATGTTCAAACTCTTCATTGGCGCGTGTTGTTAACACTTTAATGTAAGCCTTATTGCTTTACTCGTTTTCTTTTTTTCTTGTAAAGTTGCAATCAATTAATTAATCTACATAATCAATGTTGATAAAGAATTTAAAAATGAAACGATACAACTAGTACATTTTTATGAAATAAATAATTATATATATTTTACATAGAGCCATCTCAGACTGGCTATAAAACGAAAGTATATATTCTATTATTTTAAACAATTAATTTAATATTATATTGATAAATATTAGAAAAATAATTAAATTAGGAGCCTAAAATATAAAAGCAAAAAATTGATTGAAAAAATTAGGGGCCTCAATTATAAAGGTAAAAATGATAATTAAAAAAACCAGGAGCTTCGATTATAAAGGAAAAAAGTTTGAAAAAAATTAAGGTCATAAATTATAAATTTAAAAAGTGATATTAAAAAAACTAGGAGATTCAATTATAAAAGTAAAAGTAGGATTGAGAAAATTAGAGGTCTCAATTATAAAGGTAAAAAAGTGAAACTAAAAAAATTAGGGCTTCAATTATAAAGTTAGAAAGTGAGATTGAAAAAAACTAGGGGTATCAAATATAAAGGTAAAAAGTTAGGATTGAAAAAATTCAACACATCAATTATAAAGGTAAACAATGAGATTAAAAAAATTAGGGGCTTCAATTATAAATGTAGAAGGCGAGATTGAAAAAATAAAGGGCCTCAACTATAAAGGTAAAAAGTGATATTAAAAAAGTTGGGGTCTCAATTATAAATATAAAAAGTAAGATTAAAAAAACTAGGAGCATCAATTATAAAGGTAAAAAGTGAGATTACAGAAATTAGAAACCTCAATTATAAAGAGAAAAAATTAAATTAAAAAATTAAATATATCAATTATAAAAATAAAATATATGATTTAAAAGTTAAGAATTCTATAAAAAAAATAGTGACCCTGAGCAATCATTCACCATATTTCATATAATATCCGACTCTTATTTAACAATTATAATGAAAATAATTATATAATATTTTCTTAATCATTCATATATAGAGAGAGATCAGAGACTATCGTATTTTATAAAAAAAGTATATAAAAAATTATTTCCTAACATCATTATATCACACATCATTTCACACATAAAAAATAAATATTATTTTCTTATAAAAAAGAATAAAATTTTGAATCCCTCTTTAAAACACCTTCGTAATCTATTTTAACTTTCAGTTTAGACTCTAACCAATGATTCTCGTCTTATTTTTCACCATAAATTATCATCATACTTACTATACATCAATAAATTTTAAAAATATTACAACTTTGAAATTTCATCCATTTTATATATGGTAGGTGTTTCCACGCTCTTAAAGATCTTTCGTCCTCAAATGGCCACTTAACGGTGTTTGCTGTTGCCCCTGCCTATTTGTATAAAATGACGTTCATGGCCCCCAATGGACGTTTAATCCCAACTTGATGTATTTGGCTTTAGCCTCCATCTCATTAAATAAATAAATAAATAAAACACCGCTAATATGAACTATGTGAAGACCAATCGAGTTTTTTTTTATATACTAAATCCCGCTTCCTAGTCAACGCTCCCGCCACCGCTCACCTAAAAATAAATAAATAAAAAGTAAAAATGGAACAAAAGAAGTGTGATTTTTCTACCTTGTGAGAAGCCTCCGCTTTCCCTTCACAAAAGTCAACGCCCCTTCATCCTTCATCTCTTCATCATTCCCTGAAATTTTAAAGCAAAAATAACAGCTGAAAAAGTAGAGAAAAAAAGGGAAGAAAGAAAGCATAGATTGTTTCTTTCATACATATTTTTTTCATGTTTTCTTAATTATGGGCGGCAAGTTAAGTGTGTGTTTCACCGGCGGCGGCGAATATGGCGGAGAAAAAGCTCGTCGTAGGAAAGAAATATCCTCGTTATTATCGGATCCTCTCGATGAAGGACTTGGCCACTCTTTCTGCTACGTGAGACCCGAAACGACCCTTCTTTATTCGTCCAAGGTCCATTCCGACGAATCCAGCACTACTTTCGGTACGATCTCCGGAGCCTCCGTTAGCGCCAACACATACACGCCGCTTTCGACTGCGCTGGTGGATCCGTACGTCTCTTACAAAAACAGCTGCTTCGACCGAGCTGCAGCTTTCGAGAGCACTACCTCGTTTTCATCGATCCCGCTGCAACCGATTCCAAAGAATCTGATAAGCTCTTCGGGTCCATTATCGGGTAGCCTCGCTCCGGGTTCGGGTCCTTTAGAAAGAGGATTCATGTCGGGTCCTATTGAGAGAGGGTTCATGTCGGGTCCTCTCGATAATGTTAGTAATCGCGGGATATACTCGGGTCCACTCCATAAAGGTATTTCCGATCAGTTTATTAGAAGCTTTTCTCATGGAACTTTTGCTTTTAAATCCAGATCGAGAAAAGGATCTTTAATTCGGGTCCTCCACAGAGCAATATCAAAAGTTTCCCGCGGCCAAAAGTCCGTTGTCGCTCCAATTAAAGGCGTCGTTTCGGTTAAAGAATCCGAATGGGTAATTGGGCCTGATAAGAACCTGATTAATAACCAAAATGAGAATTTGACGGTCAGTAGTTTGAATCTGAGCAGCGAAGGTAGTTTAGATGATGATAAATTCATGGAAAGTCAAATCCTTCAATGGGCACAGGGGAAAGCTGGTGAGGATCGCGTACACGTCGTCGTTTCAGAGGAACGTGGATGGGTTTTTGTTGGCATTTATGATGGATTCAACGGTCCTGATGCTCCTGATTTCTTGTTATCAAATCTTTACTCTAATGTTCGTAAAGAACTCAAGGGTTTGTTATGGGATGATGGGTTTGAACAAGTCCCTGCATCTTCCCCCGAAGAAGAAAACCAGAGCAGGGAGCCCGAACCGACTAGCCGTTGCTACGGTGATGCTTGTTCCCAGTGTATCGAGAAGGAGAACTACCCCTATGATAAAGAAGTTAATTTCAATTCTAATTTGAGTTCGGAAAAGAAAAAGCTAAAGACGTCGAGGGCAAGGTATAAGGGTGCGGCGAAGAGGTGGGAAGAGAATCAAAGGAAGTGGAAATGCGAATGGGATAGGGAAAGATTAAAACTTGATAGGAAATTAAAGGAGCAATTAAATAGAAACATGTCTGATGGATCAAGATCGATGATTAATCATGGTGATGTGTTGAAAGCTCTGTCTCAGGCTTTGAAGAAAACAGAGGAGTCTTATTTGGATATTGCTGATAAGATGTTAATGGAGAATCCAGAGTTGGCTTTGATGGGTTCTTGTGTGCTTGTCATGTTGATGAAAGGTGAAGATGTTTATGTGATGAATGTCGGGGATAGTAGGGCGGTTTTGGCGCAAAAGCCAGAGCCCGATTACTGGTTGGGGAAGGTTAAACAGGATTTAGAGAGGATTAATGAAGAAACATTGCATGATCTTGAAGGTTTTGATGGAGATAAATTTTGTTCAATTCCTGATTTAACTGCTTTTCAGCTTAGTGTGGATCATAGCACCAATGTGGAAGAGGTAAAATTTCATACACCAGTCTTTTAGTACGAAATGAAATGATTTATATATCCGTATTTGATAATCGATGGATTGAGATTGATGTTCTTAATTTCATTCCAGGAAGTTCAAAGAATAATAAATGAACATCCTGATGATGCTTATGCTGTGATGAATGATCGAGTTAAAGGTTCTTTGAAGGTCACTCGAGCTTTTGGGGCTGGATTTCTCAAACAGGTAACTATTCTTTAGCTTCTTAAGCCATATAGATGAATATGCTCAATTAGGTTTATGTTTGATAAATGAATTTTTTGGGACCACGATCACATGGGAAATATTTGTTAATATTCATAGTTCTGCAAATTCATCAGCAGCTGGTACAGAGAATGTGGCTTATCAGAAAAGAGCCAAATGACATTCTGCAATAAGATGATTAGTAGCATACAAACATAGAAATAGAGATACTTTTCTGTTCCTTTTCTGTGAAATAACGATGAGGGTTGAGATCATTTGCCTGATAAATAGGGATGGTATGATTGGTTTAAATCGAACTACTTCAAATTTGAAGGGATGGATTGGCATTGGCTTTTGGAAATTTGTTTGCATTAGAAAATTCTGTAGCTGACCCTCGTTTCTCTTCGAACTTGTGCAGCCTAAATGGAACAATGCACTTCTAGAGATGTTCAGAATAGATTACAAAGGAACTTCTCCATATATCACTTGTGTGCCATCTCTCCACCACCACAGATTAGGTCCCAAAGACCGATTTTTGGTATTATCTTCTGATGGGCTCTATCAATACTTAACAAACGAGGAGGCCGTATCAGAGGTCGAACTTTTCATCACAATGCAACCTGAAGGAGACCCTGCTCAGCATCTTGTCGAGGAAGTTCTGTTCCGTGCTGCAAAGAAAGCTGGTACCATTTCGAATATCAGTCCTTATCCCTCATCATTGTTCCCCATTATACATTTTTCAATGAAACAAAATTTAACATATTTGATGTTGGTTATTACAGGCGTGGACTTTCACGAGTTACTCGAAATACCTCAAGGGGATAGACGGAGGTACCATGACGATGTATCCATCATAGTTATCTCTTTAGAGGGAAGAATATGGAGATCTTGTGTATAAGTTAGAAAAAAATATATACAGATAGAAGATATAGCAAACCAGCAAAAGAAACTCTGGCGTTTCGTTTTTGCAGTTTTTCCCCCGATCAGCCGTGTAACATAGCAATGAAGTTCATCGAAGGTTCGAGGAACGTAGTTATGAAAATGTAATGGGTGGTGAGGGGGGTGTATAAAGGTGTGTTCATGTTGATTATATAAACTATCATAGAAATTGCAATTTTTTAGTAACAAGTGGCAATAATTCTTTTTGAAGGAAGGGTTTTGTTCGCCCACCATCACTTTCTGTAATTTATTTAATTTAAAAAGCCCGGTGATGTTGGCAAACACTAGTTGGGCTCCTTTTTGCTTCATTCTTTTAGTAAACAAAACAATGTTGGGAATGTGGGATTGTTTCTGAACAAAAATACGCGTCTTTCCACTAGCTTTTTCGCCCCAACTTTTAAGGTTTTAAATGGTAGCTTAGAAGCAATTCTGGAGAATCCAACTGAAGTGATTGAAATTGATCAATCTTCCGGTCAAACTCAAAAGCTGAAAACAGCTGCTTCCTCGACCACGTTGCCTTAGCAGCAAAAGCTGTTAAAAATCTTTCTTACGCCTTTAACCTCTTCGCTTGTTTATTGATTAAAATTGACAGGTTTAAACACAGCCATTAAATACGAGTAGAACTTAAAAGAGGAGGCTATTCCTCTTCAAAAGTTGAAGGAAATGAAAATGGATGTTGCAACCACCTTCTTTGTGATGTGTGTCAATGGACGTTGCAAAATAACAGCCCCGGAGATGAGGTTTACAGGTGACCCTACTTCACTACAAATTCGCCCATATTTCTCGTAACTGCCAACTTCTTTTTGGAATCGGAGAGCAAATGAATACGTCCTCATTTGGGAGTTTCGGTGATAACAGCATCCATTTTTCATTAAATTTTCTGATTGGAGCCTAGCAACCAAAAGGAATGAGTGAGTACAAATTATCTGTTGCACCTTAAGCTATAGAGTTTAAAGGCGAATTCAGCTGAGTGAAAAACAAATTGAGTATGCTTGACAGGAATAGGGAGTACAATTCGAATTATTATTGTAGATATATGTGAATAATTTTTTAGTGGATTTAGATATTACATATTCAGGAAATTTGTAGATTCAAATGTTAGAATTAGTGTCTGATATGGATTTAGAGCATATACATATATATACACTTTTGGATATCTATTTTCATATTCATATTAATTATGTGATACGAATTCAAATATTCAAATCCGATTTTATTTTAAAATAATATTTAAATTTGATTTTAAATTATAAAATAAAAAAATACATTTACTTTAAAAGAAATTTGAATCTCATCTACGACCAAACCAACAAGTGTAAGCAAAACTCGACTCGACTTAAATCGAAAAGTCATTCTTTTTCAATTTCAAAATTTCGAGTTACTCAAAAAACCAAAAATTTGAATGAGTATTTTGATAGATTTACAAATTGGTCCTTGATTTCCTATTCCTTCATTTTTAAGTCAATTTTTTATCAAATTTGAACCACATGCTCCTAAACAATCATAGAATACATATTACTTTCAATTTCACTTTTTGATAATAAATTTTCTATTTTTTCAATTTAGTTCTTCAATATTATATGATTTATGTATTTCTTCAATTCATCCTTTATGTTAAGTGCGTTTTGGATCAAATTTAAACCATATGTTGCCCTACCACTATAGAATATCTATGTAACTTCAATTCCTATTTTCTTCACTAAAAATGTACTCTTTTTTTCCTTTTAATTTAGTCTCTTAACTTTGCAATGTACTCAGTTTAGTCTTTTGACTATAATTGTTTACAAATTCTTTCTTTACATCAATTCTTTGACTCATTTTGTACTTCCAACAATCTTTTATCCTGAAAATACCTTATTTAAAATATAATATTGTAAATATATTTATAATTTTACATTGTATGTGATATACTAAATAACATTATAGTGTAAAAAGAATATGAAGAATTATATATATATATATATATATATAAATAGAGAAAATTGAAAAATTGGAATCAATTCGTACCATAATATTATAAATAAATGTGTATAGAAACTCGAACAACTTTACTCCACTCAAAAAATTTTAAGTCAACTTCAAGTTATAAAATACAACTTGTAGACTTGAATAACTCAAAATTTTTTACTCAAATCGACTCGATCGAATTCTCCCCGTATAAACCAACCACTAGATCCCCGTGAACACAAAATTCTGTGAGGTCTGAACTGGGTATTCCCACTAGAAAATAAATCATACTACTCATTGAACACAAATCTCATTTGCTACTCCATTAATGCCAAGTAAAAATCTTAAAAACACTCCACTTTTGCAGTAAAGTCCCAGGTGGATCATAATTTATGTTTTTAATTACACCGCCAGATATGGCTTTCTTTTGGGTCATGACAGGCACTTCAGTGCGTTCCTTCAACTCATAAGCCCAGCATGACACTACTGTTTATAATTATCATTAAATTTATCGAAGTAATTTTAATATTTATTAAAAATTATAATTATTTTATAATTATTTTATTACATTTTAATAAATTATTCATTTTTTATATTTTTCGAAATTTTACTGAAAAAAATAGTATAGTATAATGACCGTTTACTTCCCCCTTTCAAAGCTCGTAGTGATTATGTTTATCTTTTCTTAGTACAACAACGTGAATGAAAATCGAAAACAAGTAAAAAAGAAAAAAAAAATTCAATTTGATAAGACTCTTCACTTATTAATTTCCCTTCTTTTGACCATTTTCAGCTTGGTTTTAATCTCACCTTCAACTCTACTTCATAACATTTAACCGACATTGTTCTTCAATCAATGGCCTACTTCATTTGCTCTCAACTACCGGTTCTGCTTAAGAACAATCAAAAACACAAACCACAACTTCAAAAGTACTTTGGATTGGTAGATACATGGCTCAACAGGTTTTCTGTAATAGCTCTTATGGATTACTTTGTTTTCTTCTTATAATGTGGCCACTTCTTGTTTGTCAGATTGCCTTTTGTTTCTCATAACAGTGCAGTTATGAAGAGTTCATTTTTTTTATTGACTATGATGTGCTTTGGAGGGCGTACTGAATCAAATTTCTGATTTGATTGAAGGGAGAGGGATGACCGTTGGGATTGCAGACGCTGAATGTAAGACTTGGAATGGCTAGAAACCATGTCTACGCAGATTCCTCTTCAGATGTAGACACACAGGTCAGTGACTCCATGGTAACTACAAGAGGTTTGATTAGTATCTTTTGCTTGGATTCGGTACATTTTCGGTACACTGAGTAGTACTAGCTATAACATATAGATGTTAGACGTAACCCGAAGGACATTTGATTAATATATCATCCTTCTTTTTAAATAAAATAAAAATATTGGAGATGTTTTGTTATAATATATGACATTAATGATGAGTATAAACGATCATAAAGTAAAAAAGAAAGAAAATAATAAAAAACTTAATAGAAAAAACTATAAACAAAGATGAGAAATTTTCAATGTCATAAAAGAATTTTGACTATACACGATTAGGGTTAATTATTTCACACATAACTCTATCTCTATCTCTAGTATCTATTTATATAGATAATTACTTGAATTTAAAGGAAACTTGCATATAGAAATACAATTTTATACGGATTTAATATATTCTATTTTTCACTCTATTTCTTTTATTTACCAAACGAATTGTATCACAAACTCTTCAAGTTGGATCATACGACTATATCATGATATATCTTTAATTTCATGAAGAAGGGGTACCCTAATATTATTGGTTGAGCGAATTCATGTCCTCCTGTCTGGATTCTATGTTCGAAATCGGAGCCTAAAACGTGTTTTGAAAATTTTATTTATTAAAAATGAGTCTCATTTTCTTAAAACAATTATATAACCCCCAAACCATCCCAACTAGACAAATCAAGGGATTTGTTTTCCTCTTTTTTGTAATTAAAAAAAGCTGAATGGAGTTGGTTGACTGTGGCCATTGATCATCATCCATGGCCCATAATAAACAAGTTGGTACTTGTCCATAGAAGACACAAGAACAAAAACAAAATATTCACCAAAATACCAACAACAAAATTGACCCTTTCTCTTAATTAGGAGTCTGTCCCCTTCCCTTTACTCATTGACGCTGCTATCCTACTGTTATTATCTACTTCAGTTTCCACATCTCACCTTCTCTTATTTTCCATCCAAAATACATTAATGGATCATAAATTAAGTTTAAAATCTTGATAGGGTCAAGATCCAACCTACCTTTGACTTTTCCAAGTGGGAATTGGAAGCAACCATTGAAAATATGTTGAAAGCCACCTTCTAGAAGAAGAAAAGGGGAAAATATTGTTTTATTTTTGGTATATATTTTTTTTCTCAAGAAGAGCAATGCTACTTTAAAGAGCAAACAAACATATGACCCCATGAAGCTTTCATCAAACTTATCAACTTAAACCTGCAACTCATTTCTTTTACTTATTTTTTCCTCAAAATCTACATAAGCAAATGGACCTCCCCTCCATCTAATATATATATAACAAATATGGGTCCACAACTGGCCATGATTACTTGGTTTTTTTTTCCATCATGTGAAAGGAGATGTCCTTGATTGACCCCATTTGGGATACTTCCAAGTGCCATATTTTTTCAAGACTTATCCATCCATTCATTTTCAGCAGCAATCCTTCAGGAGCCTCGACCACCGATCTTGCTAAATGAACCAACTGCAGATAGGCTCTTGAAGCTGCTGCTTTTTAAGCCAGAAGAAATAAATCTATGAGTTGTTAAAACGGTATGGCTTCAGTGATGCTAAAGAACTTCCTACTCCTATGGTTTATACAAACAAGCTTTCAGCAAATTGTGATGAACTCATTACGAATGGCACTGATTACCGAAACATAGTAGGTGCCCTTCAATATGTTGTAGTAACTCGTCCTGATATCGCTTACTCAGTAAACCGGGTATGTCAATTCATGCAGGCACCATGTACATAAACGTGAAGTTCCTTAAGCAAAGCCTTAATCAATACTAGATCAGTAGCAGCAGAGGCAACGCTCCTATATTCAGCCTCAGCAGTAGATCTTCTGTTTCAAGTTGTTATGCTTCTGTTTAAACTGTTATGCTTCTATTTTTCAGTTCAGTTGTTAGCTCATAAAGCTATAAGTAAGTTGTATTGTAACAAGAAACATATCTTCTTGTTTTTCTT